AACTGGCTAAGAAAGGGACTCTTCTTATTTTGCGATGACCACTTAACACGCCATAACTTGCGACGTGTTTTAAGCCGTTGTCAAGGAACTTATGACACGTTCAACACATCGCAACTTTCGTGAAATGGATCATACGACGCAACGCGAGTTGCGACGTGTTACACGTCGTAACTCGGGTTGCGATGCGTCGCAGCGCTTCGTGAAATCGGGTGCAGTACATGTAGTAGAATAACAAGCAGTTTTCAAAATTTTCAAAATGGCTGCCATTGCTTGTTAGTACACGATGCCATTGCCTGCCAGTAGTCCTACATGTATTCTACCTACATGTACATGTACCGGTATTTTTTCAAAGGACAAATCTGCGATGGCCCTACGCTAGCTACCGGGGTATAGCCAAATCTTTCTCATGACATATTCAGTACTCTGACTGTGTGCCACAATCCCATCACCTATGATACCGGTACCTGCCGTACTACTTTTTAGGCCTACATGTACATGCACGGTAGCTAGTACATGGTCGGTAAATTCCGAATTGTTCAATACATTGATCCATTAGGCCCCGCCCACTGCACATGTGAGCAAAAACACATGCGCCTCTCCAAAGTGACAGGGCATGTTCAGTCTAACCGCGTGCATGTGATGCATGCACGTGCGCGCATATTAATAATAATATTATGTCAGGCTTTTGTGCACTGGTGTCAGACAACACAAAGCTTTGACCACAGTCAAAAACAGCATGGTGCCAAGCTCAGTGTTTGGTAGGCCTACCGTATTTGTTGGTCTTGACAATTCTGACAACTCCAACTGAAATCTAAGAAAAAAAGGAGCTTTACAATTAAAATTTAAGTGATTTGAACTCTGACACACAGATTTGTTTTAGTTACTGCAAACAGCAACCATCCTGGGCATGTTTGGTAATTAAATGGTGAGTTAGCTCAGTGCATACATGTGCCATTGTATGCAGGCTTTAGCCCAATATTTGCCTGCCAGATCAGTGGTGTGGACACAGCACTGTGTGGAAATGACAGCGAAAAACTTTATCTAAATTTGTACAAGTACAAATGAATAACAGTTATAATTAAAGAATGTTGGGCTCCTGAATAATTTGTGTCGGGCTTAGCCCCCCCCCCCCAAAAAAAAGTATCTGGTTTCTGGTTTGCGCACGCGTCGCCGTAGCCATGCGCATCAGCAAAATTAACAGGTTTTTTTTCAATGTAAGATGATGTCTCAAAACTGCCAAACTCACTGCTTTGACTGGAATCCTGCTGCTGCACAATTTCAACGTATTTTTAGATGGGGCCTCTCTGCGCTTCCACATGTATTTTGCACTAAATTTAGTCAGGCACCATTTGCAGACTGTGTTGTAATTTTGTAATTGTGCGTCCGGAAGCCAGACTGACAGAGCGATGGAATGTATCTGGAACCTGTAAATGCTTTTTAATTAGCTCAATATACATGTACTTCTCATGCCTTATGGCCTTAAAGAGGTCACCTCAAGCTGCCCTCTGAAGGATATTTTGAGAGTGGGATCAAAGCGTCATCTGCAACATCAGCCGACATTTGAAGAGAAAAACAAGTTGGGTAAAAAAAAAAAAACCTGCGTCACCGCACCACTTTTGGGGCAAGTTCCATACCAGAAACCAGGAACTATGGAATGCAGTACAGTATGAAACAGTGTAATACATGTGTAGAGTGCATCCATACACACTTGGGCAGTGTGAGTCGTAAATAAATCAAGTAACAGGCAGGGCGCTTTGGGGCAGTACTGGTACAAAAACACTGCATCCGTACATTTACCGTTAGGCCCTATACATTTTGTAGCCTACCGGTACAGTTCGATTTTAAAGCTCAGGGGCCAATTTCATAGAGCTGCTTAAGCACAAAATTTGCTTAAGCACAAAAACGTCTTGCTTAATAAAATCATGTTACCTGCCAAAACTCCATGGGATTGTTATGCTAAGTAAACAACAGCTAAATACCAGTTACAAGCAATGTACATCACATGCAGTTTGGACCGGTAACCTAATTTTACTAAGCAATGTTGTTTCGTGCTTAAGCAAATTTTGTGCTTAAGCAGCTCTATGAAATTGGGCCCAGGACAGCTGATTCAATGACTCCAAACTCGAAAATGATGTTTAATGAGCTTTTAATTTTTATGCTAAAAAAAAAATTGTTATTTAAGTGGTCAGATATTGCATGAGATCGCACCACAACTACCAGGTATCTAGAAACAAAAATTTTTCGGGGCCGCCCCACGCCGTTAGGGCTTTGCGCTAAGCGCTCGCATTACTTTTAATTACCGGTACATTATGGTCCCCCCCCCCCTTAACATTCTAGGCACCACAACTTGCCTTCACCATTTGCTGCATGTTACACAGTATTCATGCCCCCCACCCCATTTGGAAAATCCTGGATCCACCCCTGTACATGTATGTACAATATCTATTACCGGTACATGTACGGTATGTACTTGAAGCAAAATTACGTGCACATTTTAATGAAACCTTGAACATAATGAACGGACAACAAACATTCATAGCCCAAGCTTCAAATGGCAATACATACATACATGCACTCTTTTTTTAATTTTATGATGGTACATGTATTTGAACACGTACAAAATGTAAAGGGTACAAAAAAGTACCAGTAGGCCTATGACAGCGCACTGCACTCAATGTACAGATGTACTGGTACAATGCATGTCTGTACATGTACCTGCACAAGCTGGCACCCAATTTATACAACCTTGGATTCTGACCTTACACCTTTTCTTTACAAATACTGCTCTTGTACATCCTGTTTTTCAATGTGCGTGCTCTTTGAACATGTCCATAACGTAGAGCATTGTGTAGAGTGTATAATGTACATGTACCGGCATGTAGTAGCCTACATGTATAATGCGTAATCCAATGTTGTGATACTTTCAAATGGGGTCGCTCTTCAAGGTACCGTACATGTACATGTAGAGCTTTTAATCTTCAGTATTTAGGCCTATGCTGTTTGAGTCCAAGTTCGTTCCCAAACTGTACTACATGTACAAACAAACAAAAAGTCAATTTTTATAAATTGCGTGTGCTGTACGTAGTGCATGTAGTGCAAATTCTGCTGTCTCTAGTCTAGAGGGTTTTTTTTTGGGGGGGGGGGGGCAAACAGTAAACATGACTGAAGCAGAGCATCCTTACAGGGGGGGGGGGGGTAATGGGGACAGGCAAATGGTGTGGAGGCATTTTTTTTTAATTGATATTATTTTGATTTGGGGGGGGGGGATGGGGGCACCGGCCTACCTTTGCCATTTGTATAAGTTTACATGGAGGAATTTGTTTCCTCCATGAGTACACTGACATGACTGAGAGCCATGGCATTGCACAAACTCTGTTTTTATGTGAAAACAAGCACCGGTATTTTGGAAAAATAAATCACACACTTTCTTTCGCTGTAGCCTTTTTGTTGATCTATGCAAATTTCACAACATTTTACGTATTTTTTTAGGAAACTAAATCAACACACTGCATTTATTTTGCAGGGGATGACCTGTAGCCTTTTTGTAGGTCTATTATTAATTCACAATACTTTCAGGATTCATCATACATAAGTCAGGTTAAAATGAAATCTCCATGAACACAAATAACTTTCATTATATTATCATTAAATAAAAACACAGTGGCTATTGCTACAGTGCAGTTGAACGTCAGTTTCCTTCAATTCCTCCAAATCCACGGGTTATGAAGAAGAAAATTAAATCAACTTAGATTTTATTGAAATCATAAATGTAAATGAAAAGTCTATTAAAAGGAAAAAAAGGGGGGGGGGGAGTTTGGCATATTTGATACCGGGACCTTCGACATGTTACATGGTATTGTACCCCTAGAACTACATGTATGGGGTTCTGCGCAGTGAACGATTGTGTTTTTGCAATGCTGTAACGATAGCAGATGAAAATCAACTTATGGCTGTAACAATACATATTACCACTGTTTGTCTTTGAAGAACATGTACATGTAGGCCTATATTTTCAATAATTACTCCCTAAGTTGCTGAGTTAAAATTACTAAGAACAGTACCAAGTCCACAGTACCTGTACGCCGAAATCCACCACTGACTCTATCTGTTTCACATTTATGCTTCGGGACCAAATCCATCGAAATCCACCACAAATTCATCACTGCTAAAGTGCTAGGCATACATGGATTTTGAGCATTTTGATGGACTTGGTACATATTGTACGCTACATTGTACTTGTAGCTTGCCTGTAAATTTTACTAGTCCCCTTAAATGGGGGGATGGACAATGATGGATTCTGATAGCCCCATAAATGCAGCCAATTTACTGGACTACCTCCGTAAATAAAGGCCACACTTCCGCCATGTACAAAAACATGTCAAACTTTGTCAAATTTGATTTTCACATTTAGGCTTAGGCCTACATGTAGTTTATTTGTAGTTTGTTTTTGCTTAAGAAGCATACTCACCCTTTTTATAGGCTAATCAGACAGTGCTGCTTTTTTCAGATGTCTAATTTTCGTGAAATTTCATGTTGACATTTTGATACGCAAACGTGTGCAAAAGAATCTGGAAATTTCACAAAAAATAGACATCTGAAAAAGGTAGCACTTTCTGATTAGCTAAAGAAACCATGAAAGAGCTGAAGAGGGTGGGTTATGAGTATACTTCTAAAGCAAAAACACACTACAAACGTAAACTAAGCCTAATGTGAAAATCAAAATTTAACAAAGTTCAACATGTTTTTGTAGGGCCTACATGGTGGAAGTGTGGCCTTTATTTACGGAGGTAGTCCACAGTAAATTGGCCTCATTTATTTACGGAGGTAGTCCAGTAAATTGGCCACATTTATTTACGGAGGCAGTCCAGTAAATAGGCCACATTTATGGGGCTAGGATGAATGAAGGCCAGTTTGGGTTAATAAAAAAAATAATGTAGCCTAGGCATGCTAGGCCTAGTTTCTTGTAGGCCAAATCATAATGATCACTGAACTTAATTTACCTTTCGTCTTCTTTCGAATCCCCTCCAACAATCACAACAACTGGTGTACTTGCAGAACTTGCATAACCTCTGTTGCCTACAGTGGGTGACGGATCTGACCGGTCTGACCCAGCACCGGGCGTCGGCAGTGGGCCGGATACGGCGCTGTCACCTGGAACGCCCGGGGACAAAGCCTCTCTCTGACCTGGTCCTGAAAACAAGGCCGGTTCCGGTGCCGGTGAAGATCGCGAGGAAGCGGCTCGCGAGGGCGAATTTGTCTTCGGAAGTCCCGCTATTTCACCGGGTGTTAACGCCAGGACGGCTTCTTCGCCATGTTCAATCCCATCCTGAGAATTCACGGACACATTCGAAGCACTGTCCGAGTTCGGGGACAACTGGTTGGCCGGGGAATCTGGCGTTACCGCCGGTTGGAAACTGCGCCGATCTCGGTTGTTTCCGGAGGTCGGGTTGAGGAAATCCAGAAACCTGTTCTGTTTCTGGGCCATTTCTCGACCGACTTGCGATGTTAAGAAGGGCGAAATTGATGCATCAAAAGAGCAAAGTCCAGTTTATGGAAGGCATTATTTGATGATAAAAATCAAATCCGCTTAGTAAGGATGATGATTATGTAAAACGTATAATGTCAATGTGGTCTGGCTGCCTCATCCGCGTCGCGATGAAGCCATCGATTGAGCCTGGTTCCCAGACCAAAAGATTCTGACTATTTATTTTAGACGTCAGGGCATCAGGGAATTGTCAGGGGCATGCAGGGAACCAGACTACCCCCCCCCCCCCCGATTTTGCAATCTCGTTGACATGGTGTCGAGCAGTACGCTCCCCAGCGGTACCTTATCTGAAACGAGGTTGAAAATAAAATAAGCTCTGGGAACGATATTGGCGATTCAGCTCATGCCCTATATACAAATCCAGAATCCATGCCTCAAAAGGAGACTTTTTGCATAAATTGGAAAATAAAGACATGTATCGGCAAATCAATGGGGAAAAAATACAGTTAAAACTGTTTAAAGTCCAATTAATGATTTTGATATTATTTGGGATTCCTGTGAGTTTATCTTCTTAAAACATATGAAAGATGGAAGACAATTTAAGAGAACATGGTTTAACACGAAGAATGACAATATTTTAAGGTATGAAAGATTAAATTCCTACATAACATTAAATGGAGTATCCTCAGTGGATAGATTAAAGAAGCTTCCCAGAATTACCTAAGCTGTTTTTTATATGACATGAAAATAATTGTTCTGTTGATGTTTGTCTTCAAACAAGAAATAGAGAGTAAACACACACACACACACCCATATTAACTACATTATCCATTTCAGACATAAATTCCCCGAGTATACTTAAGTATGATAAGTTGAATTTTGTTTCCCCTATATTTCTGAACAATTTATTTATTATTAAGCTGTTGTTTTTCCTTTGGTTGTTTTATGTGTGGATATTGACTATAGCTGCTGCAAATTTGCTAGGCACATGGGCCTTCGATAAAAGGGCGTCTCCCAATATATATTTCTGAAATACGATTTGAATAAAGTCCACTATCCAATTTGATCCCAAAAAATTCGTCATTGCTCCATGATATTTTGTCCAATATGTGTTGCCTGTCTAAAAACAAAACCGTTAAATGGCCAAGGTACATGTATATCAGTTCGTTTTCGAAATTTTGACTTAGTCTCCAACTTAGACTTCATAGCCGTCACTTCGGAATCATCTTGTCCGTGTCCAAACCAAAGTTATCGAAATCAATCTCTGGGAATCGGCCTAAATAACGGATTTGATGCTGCTGAAGCAGACTGGACAGACACAAATTATGAACCTAGACTGTGGCAGTGTCCGTGCAAGCTAGTATGGGTCTAAAAATGTCCTTACGCCGAACCCGGAGGCGAGGCCGCAGTTTTGAAAAATGCTCCCTTCTCTGGTAAACAAGTCATTTACATATGTTTGGATTCTCACCTGTCGTTCCACTTCCAACCAATAGCAGCGATTCTCAAGCGCGCCCAGCCAACTCTCTCTGCTTGATATCTCTCCTCGACCTCGCAGAAGAAATTAGGGCGCGCTTTATTTGTTGTCGACATACAAAAAAAGGTATCGTTGACAAAGAAAACATGTTTGACTTTTTGCCAAATGTTATAAAAGGCTTTAATTTGAATTAGGATATAATGTAACGTCTCTCTTTAGGTCTATTTTGGTGGCTGGATAGAATAATCGAACCGCGTAGGGACACCTCAACAAAGCTCATGCATCTCCGTGTATAATGCATGTACTTGGCCGCATCACTCACCCCATGCCGCTCACGCGCCAGCACGAGTTGTTGTTTTATGCAACAATTATTGATAGGGATATTCCGACCGCATCGCTGCTCTTGTCTGTTGTCTCACCAAAAAAAGGGAACATTTTCAGCGGATGGAACTATTCTTTAGAAGTAAGAATCACACCAACTGGTAGGGGACAATACGAAGTTCATTTCAGTATGGGACTGGTCGTACTGCGACGGAGTTTTATGTGAGACATGCGAGTCGCAAAAGGGACGACCGTGCCAGCAAGACTTCCTCTGCCGTACGCTTTCCGGGCGACCATTGGAAAAAAGTTGGAATTCAACTTTGACTCCCTTCACGAGCACTCCGAGGTCTTCCCTGACCGACTTCTCAGTTTGCCGCCTTCGGTTTGTAAAACTGTCGTGAGTGAATCAGTGAAAGTATTATGGTAAAGAAACTAGTATAAAGTTTATTAGCGAACTTCGTGAAATATGAACCAATTGTCGTGGAGATTTATTGGCTGTCTTCAATAAATATGTCTCAAATACAGGTTTGCCCCCGTACAGTGAGTGAGCCACACAGCGGTGTGAACACCTTTTTTTGTAGGGGCAAGTAGACTTTGTTGAAATCGAAATCGGGACTGTATTTTTTTTCACTTGATATTCCCCATGGAAGATTTTTACCTGGTTAAAAGCCACGGAAAGGTAAATCTTGTTTCGTTAGGTGTTTATTTATCTTGTAATTTTCATGCAAAATTCGCAGTGTTTGTCAAAAATTGGAGTGATTATCTGGTCATGTTCACTTGACCTTTTGATGTCCCCTGGTAATTAACAAGTATCTTCCATGGTAAATATCAAGTGAAAAAAAAACAGTCCCAATTTGGATTTCCTGAAAATCACCTTTTCCCCACAAATAGTGCATATTCGTGTGGCTCACTGTATGGAGGAAATCCAGTATTTCGAGCCACATTTTATGGGCAATACTCAAAGGAACTCTGAACATTAGTCCAGCTTGTTTTTAGAAGAACAATGGATGCTTGAACTGAACTGACATTAAGTGTGGAAGATACACGAGGTGAATTGTGAACTAAACCTCGTGGATTGTATTAGCTGCTTGTGTGGAATTTATCTGTGGACTTCGCTGAATGTGCCGAGGGTCCTTCCAGAGAAGCAAATGAACTGCGGTAAGCGAGTGGGAAGCAAGTTCCGAGGTGAGTAAACATTTCTATAAAGTTGTAATTAAATAAACTTCTATGTAAGTGGCGGCTTGTACATCATTTTCAGGAAAGAATGTAGTATCCAGATGCCACTTGTTTAGTTGTGTAGATAGTCTATATGGAGTGCATTTTCAAAGTATTTGTTAACAAATTTCATAGTATTTTCTAGGGTTGGCTGATTGAAATCGCGTTGATGTAAATCACTGATTTTTCATTCCTTGATCTGACAGTAATATTGTAAATCAAATATGCTTTTGTAGGCTTACTTGAACAATCTAAAGGTGTATAGTCTTACTCCTAAGTTTTTCCATAAAACTTTAGATTGAGATTTATATAATACCTTTTAAAGGTGCAAGGCCAGATTTCTCTTTTCCACCTTGTAAGTAGGACCATCAATCAAACACTGCAAGTTACACAAAAAATCAGTGCTACCGGTTTTGAAATAGAAATGATTTTTATGTAAAGAAAACATGCCCATGCTGGCACAAGTTTAGACATAATTATATATCAATATTTTGAAAGTTAAAAAACTGAAACAAATCTGATTTACATTTAAAAAAAAAATGTGATTGAAATCAAATCAGTCCGGTGTTTTTTAACCAACAAAATTCGCCAACTCTGGTATTTTCTAACAAAATTGGAAAAGTCCCAAATTCACATCATTTAAACATTTTTGGAATGGCTGATATTCGTTGAGATAATGATGAAAACAGTGGCGTCACGATGCAACCTTCTTTCCCATTTTCACTGTCATCTCTTTTATTCACATCGCCCATTACCAAAATTACCAAAATTACCAAAAATTTCCTTGCGTCCAATATTTGAAGAACGAGCATGACATTTTTAGGACATATTGTTGTATCATGTTCATAGTGTCTGTGATCATATCCACGCATGGATTTAATAATCCGGGGGTGGGGCCCCAAAAAAATACTTCTGCTTCCGTAGACATATCATTTGAAAATAGGGTGGATAGGTAGGGATTTGCTTATTTTATGTGAATCCCCAAATCGCTGGATTTAATTGAAATACACCCCAAATTTATTCTCTCTCAACTGTATGTCTAATTGCCCTAGTAATTTGAAAACTTGTTTTATGATTGTGTGTCAACCAGTCGGTGTGAGGTGATGTATTGATTTTTAGGCCCGTGGTATTGTCTGTGTAATGAATCGTCGGAGTTGGGTTGTGAATCAAATCACCACTTGAACATTCCTTCACAATTGCTCTTTGAAAAGTGAACAATGCAGAGTCTAGACTTAGCTCCTGAGCCGTAGGACGCAGCTTGTTTGACCCTTTGACCTTAAAACGGGGCGGTGACATAATTGTAAATGTTATCTCCTTATAAAGGCATTGTATCACCTGTTAGAGCTTAATGGTAACCATTCAGTCATATAAATAAGATTTGCTTTTTCTGTTTAACTTTAAATTATTCATCAAAGTAGAGTGGTATTAATTTGTAGCATACTTCTATACATGTCATTGCTTTCATTTCTCTTCGTAACTTCAAAAAAAGGTTTTACCTCGATTTGAAATTACTAGGGCCGACTCGAATACAGCCCATACTGTAAACAAAGCTGAGTAAAAAAAAAAATCAGGCCTTCTTTGAAAGACAATAGCACAAAATGTTTATTTAGACAAACAGTCCAAGTCGGGTGATAATGTGTTTTAGAGAATATTGCTCATGTTTCTTCTCGAGAAAATGGGCCTTTATTTTATCTTGTAAGAGAATGTTGAAGTCACGTCGACTTGACCCCCCCCCATCATAATTCACTACCTTTCTCATGTCGACCCTCGTCATCAAAAATAAGTTTGTTTAAAGTGTAATGTTCTGACAAAATTGGAAATGTTTTTTTTGTACTCTCTCAACTTTAACTAGGCCCTATGTCTAATTGCCCTATTGAAAACCTCTGTTGTTGTCTGCCAAAATGTAATGCTTTCGTTCGTTGGTTTGGTATGGAGTGATGTATTGATTTCTCGGCCCGTGGTATTGTCTGTGTAATGAATCGTGGGAGTTGGTTGTGAATGAAATCACCACCTGACGTACATTCCTTCACCCTTTGACCTCAAAACGGGGTGGTGATATAATTATAAATATTATCTCGTTATCGAAAGACATTGCATTACCTATTAGAGTTAATGGTGGTCAGTAAGACACTTCTATATATGAGATTTTTTTCTATTTGCTTGCAAAC